GTCCTTAAGAGCTTGTACACATGTTCAGTGACTGTAATTTTCAATAGAAGTCTTTTTCTTGGATCTTCTTTAAAACTGATCAAAGGCTTTCAAATTCTTTAATTAAGTAAAGATGTATCTTAACAAAAAGAACATTTAATTTACTTCATGTTTTACCCAGTTATTGATAAGGCCTAAAAAAAAATTATGTTTGTTTCTTGTAACCGGACCGACCCATTCAAATTATCCCCGGATGGATTTTTTTTCTGACAAATGGCAAAACTTCGTTTGATCAATCAGCTGATTCCATTTATTAAATAAAAAAAAATAGCTTGTAGCTTAATTTGAGACATAAAATATGTCAACTTAGTGTATATTTACCTTAAATATAAAGAGTAATCATTATTGTAACAACAGTTTCCCCCTACAACTTTCTGAAGTTTGTTTTCTGCCACTAAGCAGCCATTTTGGATGCCATGTTGGTTGTCCACTGTAAATATAAACCTGGTATTTTCAGTCCGGGGATGTTTGACCATTCATAAGCCAAAAAAAAAAGAAAAGAATTTCTGACCCTTAATTTTTTGGGAATGTTACAGGAAACAAACTTATTTTTTTTTAGGTCACCTGAGTCACTCAGGTGACCTATTGCTATCTGTTTTTGTCCGTCGTCGTCCGTCGTTCGTCGTACGTCGTTCGTCGTTCGTCGTCAATCGGTCGTAAACTTTTGAACATTTTCAGCTTCTTCTCTGCAACCACTGAACCAATTTCAACCAAATTTGGCACAAAGCATCTATGGGTGAAGGGGAACAAAAATTGTGAATTTCATGATCCCTGCCCCCCAGGGGCCTGGGGGGTGGGGCCAAAACCACTAAAAATAATGCAATCTTCAAAAATCTTCTTCTTTACTCCTGGACATCAAGCAGTCAAACTGTTTGCATGATTGTAATCAGCATTGAGTCCTTTACCAAAATTGTGAAATTCATGGCCCTGGGGTCAGGGGTTCTTGTACTAGGGCGGGGCTAAATAAGTATATAGTGAAAATGCATTATTTCTTTGAAAATCTTCTTCTCTGCTCCTGGGTATTAAATAAACTAACTAAGTACATAGTTATGATGAGCAAGAGTGCCTCTACCAAAATTGTGAATTTTATGGCCCCAGGGTCAGGGGTTCTGGTGTCAGGGCGGGGCTCTATTGATTATATAGAGGAAATACATTAATTCTTTGAAAATCTTCTTCTTTACTCCTGGGTATTATATAAACTAACTAAGTATATAGTTATGATGAGCAAGAGTGCCTCTACCAAAATTGTGAATTTTATGGCCCCAGGGTCAGGGGTTCTGGTGTTAGGGCGGGGCTCTATTGATTATGTAGTGAAAATACATGAATTCTTTGAAAATCTTCTTCTCTGCTCCTAGATTTTATATAATTTAACTAAGTACATATTTATGATGAGCAAGAGTGCCTCTACCAAAATTGTGAATTTTATGGCCCCAGGGTCAGGGGTTCTGGTGTCAGGGCGGGGCTCTATTGATTATATAGAGGAAATACATTAATTCTTTGAAAATCTTCTTCTTTACTCCTGGGTATTATATAAACTAACTAAGTATATAGTTATGATGAGCAAGAGTGCCTCTACCAAAATTGTGAAATTCATGGCCCCAGGGTCAGGGGTTCTGGTGTTAGGGCGGGGCTCTATTGATTATGTAGTGAAAATTCATGAATTCTTTGAAAATCTTCTTCTCTGCTCCTAGATTTTATATAATTTAACTAAGTACATATTTATGATGAGCAAGAGTGCCTCTACCAAAATTGTGAATTTTATGGCCCCAGGGTCAGGGGTTCTGGTTTTAGGGCAGGGCTCTATTGATTATATAGTGAAAATACATGAATTCTTTGAAAATCTTCTTCTCTGCTCCTAGGTTTTATATAATTTAACTAAGTACATAGTTATGATGAGCAAGAGTGCCACTACCAAAATTGTGAATTTTATGGCCCCAGGGTCAGGGGTTCTGGTGTCAGGGTGGGGCTCTATTGATTATATAGAGGAAATACATGAATTCTTTGAAAATCTTCTTCTTTACTCCTAGGTATTAAATAAACTAACTAAGTACATAGTTATGATGAACAAGAGTGCCTCTGCCAAAATTGTGAATTTTATGGCTCCAGGGTCAGGGATTCTCGTGTTAGGGCAGGGCTGTATTGATTCTGATTATACATGTATAGTGAAAAAACATTAAATCTTTGAATATTTTCTTCTTTGCTCCTAGGTTTTAAGCAGATGAATTACCTATATAGTTATGAGCAATCCCTAATCTTCAAGAATTGTAAATTTCAAGGCCCCAGGGTCAGTTGTACCATAGTGGGGGGGGGGGGGGGGGGGGGGGGGCTGTACTCGTACTTATGTACTGAAAATGAATGAATTGTTTGAAATGTGCTACTTGGTATTAATCAAATATTTTTGAAAAGCAAGTATGCCTTTCCAAAAATTGTGCAATGTGTTGATCTAGGCCTAAGAGTCAAGGGTTCATGTGTGGTAGCGGCACTACTGATTATTGCTGAATATTACTGATTAGTTGAAATGCATTTTTTGTTCCCCTACCCTGCCTATGGGTATAAAGTATCCAAACTAAGGAACTGCTAAGTGTATAGTTATGATGACCAGATTGTAAATGTTATAGCATCTGGCTTAAAACATGGATCAAATTCAGTCACTGGGAAGTTGTTGAATAATGCTCAGGTGACCTATAAGGCCCAGGGGCCTCTTGTTTAAGCCTAAGGCATGTTTCACATACAAGTATTGAACTAAGAATTTTTCTCGACCATTTTACCAGTTTGCCTTTGCCCATGACACAGCCCGTGTCCTCCAGTGTTTAATACAGTATGGTTCACCAGAACAGAGAGAAATTGTTTTTCAGGAGATCAAAGGTATACACTGTCATTCCAATTCTCCTCAGTTTAAAAAGAGGAGAACTTTGAATTCAACAGATACATGTATTATCATTTCTCTCTTAGATTCTGTATTAAGATGCCAACAACTTTGTTTAAACATTAAAATGAATACAAATGTATGTATATCATACATACCATATATACTCGCCTATAAGTCGGAATTTTGGGAGTTAATCTCTGGTCCAAAACTCTATGTCCGACTTATAGGCGAGCTATGAAATGAATGGTATTATATGAGGTCAGTCCCTCTGATATATAAGTTTATTAAATACAACCGAGTTATAGGCGGACCGACTTATAGGTGAGTATATACGTTATATCGTTTAATATTTAAATCATATGATATTCACAGTTCCAAGCATCAGAATGTTTCTCATTCAATCAAAGTTAAATTTGAAATATTTTGATTTTTGTCTCTATTTTCAGATCAAATAGTCTTAATGTCCAAGTCAAAGTATGCAAAGTTTCTTGTGAAAAAATTTCTCATCTATGGGTAAGTAATTTGATAAAGAATTTGAAATACGCATTACCCTTTGGTAAAAAGAAACAGAACTTTAAATGAATTACTATTTTTATCATTAATTATAGCTCTTAATAGTCTTATGTGAAATTAAAGGCAAAAGCTATTGGATGTCTGTTAACTGTGTTCTGGAGAGAAAAAAATTACAGGGATAGACATGAACTTTTATATTCACTTGTCCTTCGGGCAAGTGAACTACAATTTTGACTTGTCCAAATGCAATGTTGATCCCTGAATTACGTAAACAATGATCGACATTCGACAAGATAATAATATGACAGTTCTCTACATAGGGTAACAGCCCAATAAATATTTATTGCCTGATATTTGCCCAGTAAACAATTTTTCAATAGTTCAGCATTGAAATAGTCTTTTACTTTGTCTGTTACATTAATATGTGTGTATTTTATTTAGAATACCAACAATTTCTCACTTCTAAATTGCAATAGAAGGCCAAGAGTCTGTGAGAAGTGATTCAAACAGACCAGAAACATTTGGCTCTTTCAATTTTTTTTTTTATAGCATGTAAAGGCAGCAAATTTTAATGAGATAATTCTTTCATTTATTTTTTTTTAGGTCAAAGCCAATGAAAAATGCAGTAATCAAAAGTTTTCATGGGAGTGTTAGAAAACTAGTCAGACATGCTGTAAGTCCATATTGTCTAGTCAAGGAATGAATACATGTAATTTAGATGGACTATTTTAAGTAAAAAAAGAAACCAAGTCTCTATTAGAAATGAAATATGTGGTTAAAATAGAGAACAAAAATAAGTCTGTATCCATCAGGGGTGACTTTTTTTCATATCTGTAACAATTAATTGTATTAAGTAGAATTGTATTGTTCCTATAAAAATCAAGCATGTTGATGTTTTATATGTAAATTTCATACATACAAGTATTAGCCCTTCCTTTTAAAACATCAGCATATTTTGTATATACATGTATATTGCAGGAAGCCGCTGAGGTGGTAGAGTTGGCATATAATGATTACGCCAATGCAAGTCAGAGACTCTCTCTTCTTGAAGACTTTTATGGCCCTAGTTTTACCCTTTTTAAGGTAGGCTTGCAGTTACTCAAATTTGCATCTTATACCTGATTTGTTAAATTCTGTTTTACTAGAGTGAGTTCTGCATTAATTAAAATCCATTTTTATTAAATATTATTGAAACTGTTGTGCAGTATAAAAAATGATTTTTTTTTCAATTTGATATTTACAGACACCTGACATCAAGTCTTTAGATCAATTGTTACTAGTCCAGCCTGACAAAAAAGAGATGATTCTGAGTAACATGAAGGAAGCATTGCTGCCATTGATTGATAAGTGAGTTAAAACTTTTAAAAACGAACAGACAATTTGTATAATAGCATTTACACATACAGTGAGTTAAAAAATTGTTGAATTTTATGCATGCCTGATTTGTTCAGAAGGTTAGTGAATATACATTATGATGTACAAGTTCCTTCACATTAGGAGTTGTTGACCAGTTATATTCAATTACTTACATACTTTTTTTCCTCTAGAACAATACTAGGGCATTCCATGGTTCACAAGATCTTCCATGAATTCTTTGTTCATGCTAAGGAGAAAATGAAATCGGTAAGCTTTGCTTGTTTGGTACAAATTTATGTGGGTTTAATAATGACAATCTTTACTAAGTAGATAAAATTGTTATTCTTATTTGTAATTTATCATACGATTTCTTATCTGCTTTACAGGATATGATTGAGTCATTAAGAGAACACCTTGTACACATGATCCACACCAGGGAGGGAGCCAGAACAGCCATGTGTTGCTTGTGGTATGGGACCAGTAAGGTATGTCTACAACAACACAACAGCCCCCCCCCCCCCCCCATTCATTTCATATTTATAATGTAACAGGATACTAGATATTTTGCACATATCTACCATAACATGAAAAAAAAGTTTAAAATTGCATTGTAATATAAATCCTTTACATACAATGTCAATTTAATACAATGAATTTTTATTATACAGGGAAAAATCGGACTTGTATATCATTTAATGACAGTATCTAAATGTTCATTTTTCAGGACAGAAAAGTGATTATGAAGAGCTTCAAAACACATGTTGCCAAGATTTGTAAGGATGAGTATGGGTATTTGGTGCTGATAGCTTTATTTGATGTGGTGGATGATACCAAACTGGTGGGCAAAATCATCTTGGAGGTAGGTAGAAATAACGTTAGCCACATGACAAAGATTAATTGATACATAACAAATTTCCCTCTGATACTATTCTAAAAAAAAAAAAAAAAATAGAGAAAGGTAGGAGATCTGAATCCATCAGTATTTTAATAGTGAATTCTTTATGTACCAAGGTTGTAATTATGCCAATTGTCAAGTAGTTCAATTATGTTCTTTTCTGATTTTTAAATATAAGTACATGTATTTGTATGTGTGTTTTAGGCTTCAATTCATGAAACATTTCTAGGAGGTTGTGATTAAGGCATGAAATGACTATTTTGCAATAAGTATAGTATACTTTTGAATTTGCAGGAAATTTTCAAGAATTTACATGACATTGGTCAGAACCAACATGGCAGGAAGGTTCTCCAGTATTTATTGTGTCCCAGAGACCCCCATTTCTTCCAACCAGACATTGTTCGAGTTCTTAAAGAGGGGGACAGCAACCCACACAGGTAAGAGACCTAAGTCCAAAATATCAGGGATATATTTGCCAAGGTTTGTCTATAAAGACACACCACTAAAATCAAGGATAATATGTAATTAAATGCCTGAATGTCACTTGACCTCTGGGTTGTGTCCACTGATGTAGCAACAACATAGACCTGCAATCTTGAACAATGTACTAGCCTTGTGGTAACAGAACTTATATAATGAATTCAGTAGATATTATATATTTAGCCTAGTAGCAGGACTCAAGGGGGAAGGGATATCATGGTTTCTATGGGGTATGTAGATAAGATGTGTGATTATAGTAAGTAGTAATTATGAGGTTAGAATGTTAACAATGTTTTAAGTGTGTGAGGATGGTACCAAACATGGAACTTGCATAACCAGCTTCAGAATTTATGGAAATTATCTTTTGCTTCCACGTCATTTAATACTCAGTACCTTGTATAAGATTCACTATTGCCAACTGTATTTACTAGGGATGGCAATTCTTAACCGGTTAATCGATTAATCGGTCGGAACCAGTCGGAACGATGCTAATCGGTTAGAAAATCCGTAATCAGTTAGTCGGGAAAAATAAAAATGTATGTAAATTTGAACACATTTTCCTAAACAATCTTTTTTTTTTTAGAAAGGAAACCTCTGCTTAAAGTTCATTTAGCGTTTTTACATATCTTGTAATTAAATAATTTGGAGGTATTTATAGCTCTCCTGATTGAGATCACGGGAGAATTGGTCAGTTTGTAAAGTGTTAATTGCTGTTTTTCAAATATCATGCCATTACCCCGACTGTCCTGCACGTGATTTTTAATGATATTAAAAACATCCCCATTTAGCACTTTCAATTAGTATGTCTTTATGTTACCATTATCTATAAGTTGTTATATTAGGGAAAAAAACGTTAATGAAGCGAGAGTGCAGACATTGTTTTGATTATGATTTCAATGCAGAATAAATGCCTTTAACATCTGCGTTGGAAAATAACGTGTTTGTTTTCTCATGCAAGATTTATGATTATCTTTATTTTTTCTTGTATAATGAAATTAAAATAATATAAAGTCTTATGCACATGACATAAAACATCCCAATCAAGATAATTAACAGAATGTAACTTCTAACGTCTTTTTCAGCCTTCTTGTGTATTTTGAAGAAATGTCAAAATGTACATCTTGATACAACTAACAGGTTAATCGGTCAGAACGTCTTGCGGTTAACCGATTAGCAATTCTGTAATCGATTGCCATCCCTAGTATTTACATATTTATTATCCTTAATAAGTGATTACATGTACTATTTCTTTTTCATGCATAGAGTTTCAAAATGACTCTTTCGTTGACTTTTATGGAAGTGCTGCATATGATATCTTTGTGTAGGAATTATGTGACATTCTGTGTTGAAAGATTAGCACTCTGTAGGGTGACAATAAAGAATCAATTTATTTGAACCTATTATTGATGATTTACCTTTCCTTTCAGTAAGAAAGATTCTGCTCTGAGATACAGAGAGTTGCTGACGATGGTGTCTCAGCCTTTTCTACAGTTTATTGTAGACCATGCTCGAGATCTGGTTTTGGAGAATGGCTCACTACTTCTGATCTTATCTATTCTCAACTATTCTCTGGGTAAGTTTCCTCAAGTATGTAAAGCAGAGAAAATATGTATCGCAAAATGAACTGCATTGCTGATTTTTCCCCAACAGCAGAATTTAAAAAAAAATAGAAATAACAAATTCTTCTGAATTTTGTCAAAAATTGTGTATTAGAGAAAAAAAGTTTCTGGAATACCTTAGTTCTCTATGTCTCTTTATAACATGTCAAATCTTCAAGCCTTTACAGTGTATGTTATTAATATGCAGATTTACGAGGGACGTTCAATAAATAATGTCATTAGCTCGATGGCATACAACATAGTAGTCATATGACATAAAAATTGACTTTCTCTCATTATTGAATCTTTAATGAATTGATAACAGTTTGTGTGACCACTTTACATCGCATTATTTCATCGTGGGAAGCTGGAAAACAAGGGCTATTCGAGACACTGGATTAAAAATGAATGGTCAAGAATCAGTAAACTAGAGTAAAATTAAACGCTTCATTAAAGCAGCTGTAAAACTTGTTAATATTCCAAAGATATATTAAATGAAATATGTGAAAGTTACAGCAACCAATGCCTGTTTTATAGACAGGTGAACATGTAGATTTCAAGAAACAAAATTATATAATGGGCATCAAAAATGGGTACAGTCCTTGGCAACAATGACTTACAACAACCGATGTAAATTTGCAAAATTTCAACAAATTATCACTGATTATGTTTTATTGACTTTAAGACACATAGCAAAATTGATAAAAATCATTTTGGGGATAGTTCATACTGTTTTAAAGAACCATTTTATAGTAAAAAAGTTTAATACTCAAAGGTCACCCTATATTTTAAAAAATGAGTGAAAACGACAGTGTGTAGGAATATCCAAACAATTCTTTTAAAAAATCAAAAATTTGTACTTATCCACGTTTGTGTGAAATTCTAACAGATAATGAAACTTATATCCATTTTGCTTTAATCCCTCAAAACAAATTTACAATAAGATGCACTTGACAAAACTGCAAAGGCCTAAGAAGAGCAAAGAATTGCAGGAGCATAAAACAGTTTTATATGCTATTTTCTGAAATATTAGCGGTCTTGTTCTTCAAATTCATATTCGGGGAGGAAGTTCAAATATCTGGAGGAGTCTAGAAAACAATTTTTTTGCAAAAAAATTGAAAGGTTTATATGAGGAAGGAAACAGAATGAGGAATACACTACATTAAATGTCTTCATGACGGCGGCCAAACCCACAGGCCATGAAGAGTAAAGGAGTTTTCGGGATAAACAACAAGTAAATGTTTTGTCACACCAACAAAATTTGCCAGATATTTCAACCTTTGACTAGTTTCATTTTCTAAAATTAGAAAAACATCTATCAGAAAGAAAAAACTAGTACAGCAAATCATAGGATCTGCCATATTCCAGTATACAAAGGGTCATACTCAAAAATGTGTTCGAAAAACAATTGGAAATTGAATGAAAATGTTACGGTTTTAATTGAAAGAGAATATTTTAGTTAAATCATTAAGATTCTTCAGGTGACCCAAGTGAGGCCATGAGAGCAGTGGCTGAAATTGCGGCAGAACCATTTGTAGCAGGCAGCTTAGAAAACCAGCACATTGTCGAGCACCCTGCTGGTCATATGACACTGAAACATTTAATACAGAGAGACAGGGATAGGATACATGCAGGACAGCCAGGTAAATGTCACATGACAATGAAACATTTAATACAGCGTGACAGGGATAGGATACATGCAGGACAGCCAGGTATGTCACATGACACTGAAACATTTAATACAGACAGGGATAGGATACATGCAGGATAGTCAGGTATGTCACATGGCACTGAAACATTTAATACAGCGTGACAGGGATAGGATACATGCAGGACAGTCAGGTATGTCACATGGCACTGAAACATATAATACAGACAGGATAGGATACATGCAGGACAGTCAGGTAAGTGTCACATGGCACTGAAACATATAATACAGACAGGATAGGATACATGCAGGACAGTCAGGTAGGTGTCACATGACACTGAAACATTTAATACAGCATGACAGGGATAGGATACATGCAGGACAGCCAGGTATGTCACATGACACTGAAACATGTAATACAGACAGGATAGGATACATGCAGGACAGCCAGGTATGTCACATGACACTGAAACATTTAATACAGACAGGGATAGGATACATGCAGGACAGTCAGGTATGTCACATGGCACTGAAACATTTAATACAGCGTGACAGGGATAGGATACATGCAGGACAGTCAGGTAAGTGTCACATGGCACTGAAACATATAATACAGACAGGATAGGATACATGCAGGACAGTCAGGTAGGTGTCACATGACACTGAAACATTTAATACAGCGTGACAGGGATAGGATACATGCAGGACAGCCAGGTATGTCACATAACACTGAAACATTTAATACAGACAGGGATAGGATAACATCCCTAATTGGGCATTTTCTTATTTTCTATTAGATAGATAAATTTTCTTTGAAACTAACATTTTTATTTCCTGATTACCTAGATTTAAAATATCTTTGTTTAGTTAATTTTTTGACATTCATTATTATCTATGATTAATGTGATTTATGAGTATTCAGTGGCCTTACACACTTTAAAATATCACTGAAACGCAGTTGTAAGTCTGATGTTCTGGCATGCATTGTATCCTTGATGCTACTTTTTATACACCTTGTCTGTAGCTATTCTCCTGTATTTTCAGTGCTGTTCTCTCAGGTTTTACTGAGAACACTTAAGGAGGGATCATTGAAGTCCTGGGCCGCATGTAACAGAGGCTGCTTTACACTTCTATTGTGAGTTTAATTCTCATGTTATTTGTACATGTATTTCTATGCTATCTATGAGAACATCAAAACTAACTTTGAAGGTACATGAACAAATATGTTTAAAATACAGTCAATTCTCGAATTATTGCCATTTGATTCATCGCCATTTTCGCAATACCGCCATGATTTCCTAAGAACGTTTTTCCTACTATATAAAATTCTCTTTATAACGACAAATTCGCATACTGCCATCCGCCACCCTGTTTTCACAACAAACATCCATTTTTAAGTGTCAATTATCTCGATATACCGCCACAGACGCATGGGGTCAGTGAAGCGCAGCTAATTGGTTGACGCTATCCCTGTTGTAAAGCATGCAAAGCCAGACAAAGTACATGCAATTAAATAAGAATTAAATAAACAATAATTTTAATATGGACTGTTTTAATAATTTTGTTCTCTGTTTAATAAAAATCATTTAGGCACGACTTCGCGGTAGATGTTAAAGTAGATGTTAAAGTACGCCGAATACGATATTATTTTGATGATCTCTGCTTTAAACAATGCAAAGTTTGCTTAAAAAATAATTATAAGGTATAAATTGTGAACGTTTCATTAAGAATGATGTCATAAACAATGAATTTATTCAAGAAATCATTTTACGTACTGTCAGTAATATATCTCGATGATCGACGCAGCATGTTGTTTTTTTTTTTTTTGATATCCGGCGTGCCGATTTACATGCATACAAATGTACTACTTGTCTTTATTTCATAACTGCACATTTTGTTTTAACGAAATTGTACTTAAAAAATTACTTGTATTTTCAAATTTAGAAATATGTTTATATACATGTACATATAATTATAAGAATAGAAACGCTAAATGGTATTTCTAAGAACAGTAACTCTACTTCTTGTGTCCTGAAAAATGGGAAATTCAATTCATCGCCAAATTATACCGCCATGATTTCTAAATTACAAAAGATGGCGGTTTATCGAGAATTAACTGTACTTTGATTTCTCCATGTAAATAAATATGTTCCTCAGAATAGTATTAATGAGAATTTTTTTTAATAGCTTGTTAGAAGTGGATCATCCTGAAATAACAGACACAGTAATTAGTCAGCTGTCTGGAATCAGAAGTTCATTGAAGAAAATGACATTCAGAGGAGCTCAACTTCTCTTACAAAAGCTGGATGCTTTAAGTGGGGAGTACAAATTGTAACTGCATGTACTCTGGAGTGTACATCTACTGTTAAGAGTAAAGTACAGATTGTACCCGGATGTAACCATCAGTGTACAACCATTGTTGGAAGATTTGTGAATATTGATGAATAGAAATGTGAAGCACAGAAATTTTTAGTTGGAGACTGAATGCAGCTTTGATCTAAAGATGAACAGACAGTGACAGTTTGAAATCTGGCATTTGATGTTTTAGTTTTACATGTCAATAATGGCTATTTGTACAATGTAATATGTAAATTAAGTACATGTATATTAAAATATTTTATGTGGAATGACTTTTTTAGGAATTTACAATTGATGCAGTTAAGGAAACCAAATGTTGACTAAGAGTGGCCATCAGCTTAATGAAAGAAAATTACCTTAATCGGTTTTAAGAGTTTTTTGATACCATCTGTATTTTTCCCCTTTGAAAATTGCTATTTATTTGAAATTTCATTGTAAGTCAAATTGATATTTAATAAACAATTTATGTTGAAGAGTCTTGTATTAAAACATTTTTTAATCTTGAATTTTTTTAATTTGAGAAAATTATATTCATCCAGCCTGTAAATGAATTGTGAATAAAATTCAAATTAACAGATGCATTTTTGTATGTGTGTATTTTTTTTTTCAGAGGATAAACTTTAAACAGACAAAACAAAAAGTATACTACATTATGTACATTGTACTTTAATTTTTCACACTGAGTTCACATGAAGTTCATGATTTTGGCTGTCAATCTTAGCCCTCCTCCCCTTCCCGTCTTGAATTTTCAAAGTAAATAAATCTAAAAAATGAAGTCGATATCCATGCACAAATGTATTAACATTACTGGATGTTAATTTTTTAGCTCACCGCGATGAAGTCGAGATGAGCTAATGCTATACCCCCGGCATTGGCGTCGGCGTCCCAGGTTAAAGTTTTAGGAGCAAGTCCATTCCCAAGTAACTATAAGCCTTACCTGAACCAAACTTGCATGGATGATGCAGCTAGGGATGTACACTACCAGACTTGCTTCGGATGCTTGATCTGACCTACATTTTCCAGATGAGTGACCAGGTTAAAGTTTTTGGAGCAGGTTAAAGTTTTTGGAGCAGGTCCATTCCCAAGGAATTATAAGCCCTACCCGGACCAAACTTGCATGGATGATGCATCTAGAGATGTACACTACAAGACTTGCTTCGGATGCTGGATCTGACCTACATTTTCCAGATGAGTGACCAGGTTAAAGTTTTTGGAGCAGGTCTATTCCCAAGGAACTATAAGCCCTACCCGGACCAAACTTGCATAGATGATGCTTCTGATGATGGACACTATCAGACGTGCTTCGGATGCTGGATCTGACCTACACTTTCCAGATGAGTGACCAGGTAAAAGTTTATGGAGCAGGTCCATTATACAGGAACTATAAGCCCTACCTGAACCAAACTTGCATGGATGATGTATCTAGGGATGTACACTACCAGACTAGCTTTGGATGCTGGATCTGACCTACATTTCCATTCCCAAGTAACTATAAGCCCTATTTGGACCAAACTTGCATGGATGATGCATCTACGGACACACTACCAGACTTGCTTCGGATGCTGGATCTGATCTACATTTTTATTCCCAAGTAACTATAAGTGCTACCTGAACCAAACTTGCATGGATGATGTATCTAGGGATGTACACTACCAGACTTGCTTCAGATGCTGGATCTGACCTACATTATCATTCCCAAGTAACTATAAGGTCTACCTGAACCAAACTTGCATGGATGATGTATCTAGGGATGGACACTATCAGACTTGCTTCAGATGCTGGCTCTGACCTATATTTTCCATACAAGAGACCAGGTCAAAGTTTTGGGAACAGATCAATCCGAATCAAGTTGAAGTCCTTGATATCTGCAGTATTAACAGTTATGAATATTTGTTTACACTATACATGTTTTTCACGCTACACGCGTAGAAATGTGTATATGCCATGTAAGGGGTTAAACACAACTTGCAAGAATATTGTTGTTGGGATGAATACTAAATGTTAAGAAAATATGATGTGAGATTTGCATTACTTAAACTGATAACATTCGTCGAGGTGAGCTTCGTAATCTTTCATTACCTATGTTTTAAAATAGGATTTGTATTTGCAAGAGGTGTCATTTGTGTTTTATCATGATAAATATAACAAGTTTATGAACATTCTGCACTGCATCAATGTAGGACACCCTGCCCCTACCTTTTTTTGCTGCCTATAGGATTTTCATTTAGATAGTGTCCCCTCCCCAAACACACTCGCCCTCACTTCACTTGCAAATCCTATGATTTTAAACAAGAGGCCCATGGGCCAAATTGCACCTGAGAAGCTTTGGCCATTCTGTTCTTTACCCAATTTCCTCCTTGTAATACATATTGTGACCCCACCCTACCCCACTGATCATAATTTAAACAATTTGAAACCTACACTACCCCAGTATGCTTTCTGGCCCAGTGGTTCTTGAGAAGAAGATTTTCAAAGATTTTTCCAATATACTCCTATGTAAAACTTTGATTCCCCATTGTGGCCCCGCCCTAACCCCGGGGGTCATGATTAGAACAATTTAGAATCAACACTACCCCAGGATGCTTCCACATAAGTTTCAGCTTATCTGACCCAGTGGTTCTTGAGAAGAAGATTTTCAAAGATTTTTCCTATATATTTCTATGCAAAACTTTGATTCCACATTGTGGCCCCGCCCAACCCCCGGGGGTCATGATTTGAACAATTTAGAATCTGCACTATCCCAGGATGCTTTCACATAAGTTTCAGCTTTTCTGGCCCAGTGGTTCTTGAGAAGAAGATTTTTAAAGATTTTTCCTATATATTTCTATGTAAAACATTGATTCCCCATCGTGGCCCACCCTACCCCCGGGGTCATGATTTGAACAATTTAGAATCTACACTACCCCAGTATGCTTCCACACAAGTTTCAACTTTACTGACCCAGTGGTTCTTGAGAAAAAGATTTTTAAAGATTTTTCCTATATATTTCTATGTAAAACTTTGATTCCCCATTGCGGCCCCGCCCTACACCGGAGGGGGGGTCATGATTTGAACAATTTAGAATCTACACTACCTCAGGATGCTTCCACATAAGTTTCAGCTTTAGTGGCCCAGTGGTTCTTGAGAAGAAGATTTTTTTAATGACCCATCCATATTTTTATCTTTTCTTGATTATCTCCCCTTTTGAGGGGACATGGCCCTTCATTTTAACAATTTATATTCTCCTTCACCCAAGGATGCTTTGTACCAAGTTTGGTCAAACTTGGCCCAGTGGTTCTTCAGAAGAAGTCGAAAATGTGAAAAGTTTACAGACGGACGCACAGACAGCTAGACGGACAAAATGTGATCAGAAAAGCTTACTTGAGCCTTCAGCTCAGGTGAGCTAAAAATTACCTCCCTTTCTCTTAAGCTTAGATATTCCGACAATCTCTGATTTACCTCTCTTGATATTTTTGCTTTAAAATCCAGTCTTTAAGAATTTTTTTTCATTTATGGAATGAAGCTAATTTCAACTTATATTATACGATATAACATAACTTGGGGCAGTTTACGCTTTATAAACCGCGAAGCGGTTTATAAAAAAGCGTTAACTGCCCCAAGTTATGTTATATCGTATAATATAAGTTGAAATTAGCTTCATTCCTTATAATTTAATTTCAGTGCATACAATGAGATAATTTTCTCCCCAGAATAATGCTCCACAATGATTTAGTTTTGAAAGTAACGTCAAGCGGAGTAATACGTTTTTTGACGTAACTCATTGTGACGTAGGCAAGTTATGTTATCCAAAATGGATAAAATCTTTTATCCAATCAAATGGCGTGTTACAAGTAAAATTAAATTATTTAAAAATATAATATACAGATACAAAAAACATTCAGAAAAAATAACTTAGTATATGAAAAGATGTACAATAATGTAGTAGCACTCTGAGCTTTCTCCAAATGCCTTATTACAAATTTAACAGAGTTAACTTTGAGTGATCTGCTGTGAATATGTCAGGAGTTATCCTTTATGAGTTATGTACTCAGCACGGTCCACTGAATTCTGGAGTCAAGCTATTTACTGTGTCCATCATTTTGTAATAACAACATACTCAAGCAATATCCATTAAATTCTGTGAGTTAAGCTGTTTAGTGTGTCCATCACTGTGTTGATAAGAGTTACTCAGTACAGTGCACTGAATCCTACAAGTTAAGATATTTAGTCACAGTGTCCAACTGTCCATCACTTTATTATAACAATGTACTCGGCACAGTTCATTGAATTCTGTGAGGTAAGCTGTTTAATGTGTCCATCACTTTCTGATAACAATGTACTCAGCACAGTCCATTGAATTCTGTGAGTTACCTTAATCTCTGCACTATTGTTGATCGAGCATATTTGTCTGCTGTCAAAGAAACAAAATTGATGGCAGTCTGTCTGTAAAGATAACAAATCACGAGGGATCAAAAAAATATTAATAAAAATCTTAATAAATGAAAAAAGGCTAACATATTTCACAGATTACAAGGAGTTTGCAGAGCTTGTATCTTACCTTTATTTTCAGGTTCTAGCTGATCTCTTTGGTCACTCTCACAGAAACATTGCGAGCTGCTTTTGGAAACAGGATCAATGCCAGCATAAACCCCTACCAATTAACAAAAAAAGAAACTAGAAATTCAAAAAATTCGAGTGTCATAATCTCATTTCATTCACATAACACAAGGTCTCAAGCTTGACATACAACTGACTTACCAAAGATTTCAGGTTAGACAGTAGTTAGTCCTTCATCTCCAGTCTTGTTAACAAGTTGAGGTCAGTCTCATCTTCTGCCTGTTAACAAAGAAAAATCTAAAGATCATTGAAAATAATGAAGGAGACCTTGTGCCAAAATGTTCACCTGAATCATCTTGACCTTGTCATCAGAAGAAAAAAAATCTTAATTCATATTTTTACTAATCCTAGTCCAAAGGGATCATGATGTAACCTAATTTGAATCAGGACATCCTCAGGATGCTTTAGATTGCAACATGGTTGCTGTTGTGCTGCAGAAGGTAAATCACCCTGAACCTATGATTTGCATAAGTGTATAAGAAAATTTGAAAATTGCAAAAAAAGAGCTTTTTACTCACTCCATTATCAGATACTGTCTGCTAGACAAAGCTTGGCAATGAACTCTTCTTCTTCTCTTGGTCAGCACTGGTCTTCTTCCTTCTTCCCTTGTCAAATCCCTTAAAAATACTTGATGGAGAGAAGATAAGCAATAATTCAAAGCAATGTAATAATCAAAGAAACTCAAATGATCATAATCATTACAACATTATTAGCTGGAAAATCAAAGAGCAAATTAAGACAATCAGGTTATGAGAGGAATAAGGTGGATTATTGGGGCAAGGAGAGGAATGCATAGTTACTTTAGAGGAGGGAGGACAGAAATATGTCAGAAATAATTAAACAAAAATACTTGTAAGACTCCTGCTTGTTAAAGTGGGTCCTGATGAAGTTCCATAGGTAAAAAAAGAAGTACAAATATTCTCCTCATGGCTGCAGCGAAATGGGAGAGGGATTCTTCCTTACTTAGAATTCCTAGTCAGTCTTAACTTTCTTCTGCTTAAAAAGATAAAAAAGAGACATAAAAGGGGAAACACTTTCACTTCATATCAAGTGAGAAGCTTCAGTAAAAAGCAGCTTGTTGCTTACCACTTTTGAAACACAATGCCTTCAAAACACAGACAGGAATAGACTCTTCTTATATTAATGACCTTGGTCCTCCATTGTTCTTCCTCTTTTGAATTAAAGAGGAACTGAAATCTGTCGAAAGTCCAGAGGTTAAAGCTTGGTACAGCCAACATCAATTGGCAAGCAAAGATACAAGTCAAGTCTGAATCTTACTCTGCTTTCTGCTGATGTCTGCAGTTCAATGGGAGAGGGAGTCTTCCTCACTTCAGGATCCTGTTCAACCCTAACATTATTCTGCTTAAAAAGATAAAAACAGACACCAAAAGGGGATCATTGGCACTTCATACCAAGTGAGAAGATTTCTAAAATAAACAAGTGGCCAAAAGCGATATGCTCACCTAAGCATATTGGCTAGTAAATGCACAAATTAGTCCAGTATTGAAAAGTATAAATTTTGGAATATAACTACCTTGAGACATTTTCATATCAATAACAATGGCTTAGCTGTTCTTGAACATAGATTTTTTTTCTATATATTACTATCCCGGGCCATTGATGCCCCTCCCTGCCCCCTGGAATCAAGATGTGGACAAATGTGAATCTACACTACCTAAGGATGCTCCCATATCAATATGACTACCGGTATATATGGCTTTGGTATTATTGAGAGGACGTTTCCTATACATTCCCCTGTCGATTTTGATCCACCATTGGGGCTCTGCCCTACACATGGGAGTCATAATTTGAACAAACTTAAATCTACACTACATGAAGATGCTAGATTTCTAAAGATATTTCCAATATAATCCAAAGTAAAACTTTGATTGTCCATTGTGGCCCAAACCTTTCCCCGATAGACGATTTGAACAAAATGAAATCTTCACTACCAAAAAGGATGATTTGATATCAATATGACTAATTGTGGCTTGAGAAAAAAACAATTATGTATATCCCTGGGTACATACTGTAGATTCCTAAATATATGCGTGGAAGTAATTATCGCATAATTTCGCAAGGGGCATCAAACACAAAATTAAATTACTCGCCTTTATTTTTATGGAGCTGAAATCTATGTAAAATCTTTTAACCAACCATCCATTCGAATTATTATTCTCGTGATTTGAGAGTGAAAAGCCTATTCGCGATAATAATTACACGCGAAAATAAGGAATCTACAGTATAATATATATTTTTGATCCCCTATTCTGACCCCAACATGGGGTCTTGATTTGACTTTGAATCTACACTACCTGAGGATGATGCCACACAAGTGTCTCTTTCCTGTCTCAGAAGATTTTTAAAAGATGTCCTTAATTTTTCACTTACCGGTATTTGTATAGTAATCTTCCATTTGAAGAGGGAGTGGGCCTTCATTTGAATAAACTTAAATCCCATAATGGTATTTATCCAAGGATACTCTTTGCCAAGTTTCCTTGAATTTTGACAAAGATGAAAATGTGAAATTTTACAAAAAATATGACAAAGACATAAAATGAACAAAGGTTCACTTCTTTTAAAAACCAGCACTTATATCAATTGATTCTTCTACTAAACAGGGGTTGTGATCAGTTTTCTTTCCTAGATAAGATGTTTACCAATGCTTTTGAGACTCATCTTCCCATGCGCCCTTGCGAACTTAGCCTGGGACCAAATGGTACCCAGTATCCGTCTGCTTCCACGTGGAGGCATCGCATAGGACTTGTTGTGGAGAGGCTATGTTCTGGCAGGGGAAGACATAAAAATTCCTTCCCTTTTCACATTGCTGCTAGCCAGCGATGATGGATGAAAGCGAGAGGTGACAAGCACACACACACTAACACCAACACACTAGACGCATCACACAACATTTAGCAGACGTTAGTAGTTTTAGTAGCTTGTTACTTCTGCAGGGTTCTCCATCGTTTGAAATTTTACTGTGTTGCAGAGTATTCGCAAAGCACTAAAATTTCACAGTATTTTAGCGATCGAATTTGCAACTGAATCACTATTCATTATAATTACTTAAGAATACATGCACACACTTTTAAAAAAAAAAATTGCTAATTCGTTACAAAAATAGTATGGTCGAACATATAAGCACATATTGTGAAATGCAGAGGAAATTCTTTTCGATAAAGTTAAACTACTCAAAATTTTTTAAAGCAAATTTGTTTTTTTGTCAATCTTCTTGATCAAATTAAGGAATTACAAAAAAAAAAAATTTCGGAATAGTAAAATACGTTTAAAAGTTCCTTGAAAATTTAAAACTATTTATAATTACATCAAGTAAATGATTTCGGTACAGTGCTATAATGTTTGATTTACATTGCCAACATACTGTAAATCACTTTCTATTTGTGTGAACTTTATTTTCGTGTAGTTACGCAAGATAGTGTGCTAGCCAAAATTTAATTTTTGCGTAAATTAGTATTCCTTAAAATTATATAGAGCAATGACCACAATTCGTGAAATTTTGTCTCGCTTATCAAGAGTCAATAACTATCTCGCAAAATAAGGTGTCGCGAAAATTTAGTGATCTACAGTAATTCTAGAGCCATTGCTCTATAGAAAAGACATTTAAATATATTTCTAAAAATAATACAATGTACTTTAATTGCAACTACTAGTACCAATTAACTGTTACATGGAAGTATGAAAAACAATTATTTGCCTTTGTTCTTTCATGCGTAAAGTCTGGCAAGGGTGTAGGAAATAATTGATTATGCAAGGTGAAACCGTAATGAAGTGCTCTATATTGTGACGTAACCTATTTTCGATAGTATCCTAATTTCGATAGGCTAATGTTTTTAACAATAAATCAGAAAACCTTTCGTTATTTTTTGGAACTCTTATCCCAAAATTACCACCAGATGTAAAAAGTGTAATAAAGCCAAAAAGATCGAAAATTATGCCATTTGGGGAGGTAAGATTTTATTTTTCTTTGTATCTATTCAAATCACTCCCTTTTCTCATAATGCCAAAAAATTCACTCTAAAACCCTATCTCCTAAGCCTGAAAACAACATTTGATGTTTCAATGTTATCGTCTATTAAAAAGCTCTGTGTTATGGCTTAAAAATAGATAAGCCTCGCTTTGGGCAAACTTCCGCTTAAAAAATAAAGTATGGAGGCCTGTTACGGGTATTTTATTTTAAATTTTGACATTTTTTTAATGTTTTATTTTTTGTTTCTGTTGATTTATTGTTCTTTTTTGTAGATATTTTCCATCAAAATTGGAATTTACAAGAATTATTATAGGCCAAAGGCTGTGGATAATGCTTTCCAAGCAGACAATGGCTTCTGGCTTGAAATTTCAATTTTATAAAATTTCAACCAAAAAATAAAAAAAAATTAATGTTATAATTAAGTATATTTTATTTGTTGTTAAGATTATAGTTGAAAACAGGACCAAAAAATCCAATACCAGAAAAAATGACAAAAAACAAATAAAAGAAAACAAAAACCCACACAAAATAACATAATTCGATGTTTTAATGAAAATAACTGTGCGCCATACTTGCTATCGAAAATAGGTGACGTCATTCAAAACAACTCGGATTATGGCGGATCCAAAGAAAGTTGAAAAATTACTAAAATTCTTAGCAAATAA